GTGAGGCCGCAGAGGCAGCTGGAGCATCTCTCTTCAGTTGAACCTCTTCTTTCTTTCCAGCCCCTCTCCTCCCAAAGGTGGTGAGCGTGGGCTCCTGCAACTGCTTGCTCAGAGCTGCCAACACTTGTAATCTGCTGGTTTTGGGCTTCCTGGCTGGACTGACAGGACCTGGCCGTGATCCAAGCAGGGTGATGTCTTCAGACCCTTTATGTCTCCGAGATGGGAGCAGTGAACTCCAGTTCAGTTCCAGTTTTTCCTGGCTGTCCCTCAAATGGAGTCAGAAGTTGTCTTTTTGAATTGCTTGGAGGTGAGGGGTTGAATAATTTCAAATGCATTTGAAAATAAGGTTATAACCAACTGTATTATAATGGGACACAAGCAGTTTCTCACTGCAAGGCCTGTGATAAGAACCATTTTGACTTTTCAAAGGGTAATTTTTATTTAACAAGCTTAAACTTATCCATTGTGGCCAAAGCTGAAGGTATACTCTGACAATTATGACTTATGATGATACATTAATGGACTTCTTGTTTCTGATGCTAAGGGTGAGTTTGTAGTTTCATCTGCAATTCAAAATATGAAGTCATGGGGACTAGGGTGGGTGGAACACAACTTCACTGGGCTGGGATGGTCCATGACCTTTTGTGAAAAGTGTCTTAATGTGGCAAAGCACCGGCTTATTATCAACTTTCCTGGTGAACCAGTAAATGAAAGCAAATCAAGCAAATCTGCAGATCAAGAAACTCCTTGTACAAGTAAGATAATCAATTTAGACAGCTAATTAACCACTTAAGTAACTGACTAGATCTGATTAATTCATAGTTAATGGTTCTGTCAGATTAAATTGATGTCTAGTAACCCAAAGGACAATTAGGAGCTTACAATCGCTGTGATTATTTTTCCCCTGCATTGTTGCAAGAACCCTGGTTAGAGTTAATGTGATAATTTAGGACTATTATGTAAGGCTGTCTCCTTGCCACAGGACAGTGCTTCAAGCACTACTACAATTTGGGGCAATGCTATTCCTAATGCCTGGTAAGTGAGATATGTGATTGATTTTTTTTTTTTTTTTGGGGAAATTTTTGTAGGACTATCCCTAGTTTCATATCACCTGTTAATTCATTGCTCATTGAAGTGCAGATTGTTGCAGGCAGACAAATAAACAGAAAGCAAGCAGAGAGGTTACAGCTGGTGACCAGTGTGAGAAATGTAAACGGAAGGAAGGCAAAAATCTTATTTTCCAGATTGTCTTACAGCCCTGACTTGGTGCTTGGTAAAGCAGATTTTTTTTTTTTTTGGGTAGTCTATGTCAATGCCATCTGAACAGGAACTGAGCTATGCACATTTTGGGTGCTTCTGCAACACAAATAGTTTGAGTCATGTTACATATCTCAAATATTTTGCTCAGAAGCAGGAAGGCATATGCCCATTCTGGATGTCATCTGAGGGACGCCTGGAAGGCATGTCTGGCAGGCTTATACCAATATCATTGCAGATCGACATACTCACTGTAGCTTGTAACTGGTAAGACACAGCATCAGGCCTTGTGGATTTTGACTTCCACAAGACGATATTACTAATGAATTAAGATTGCTTTTTTGCAACTAGAATCATTGGAACCTCAGTGGTTTTCTTCCCTTTTTTCCACCCTTAACATTGCCTTTGCTCTTTAACAGAGATATTTCTATTTATTTCAGAAGAGATGATGTAGTCAAATGGAAATGATTGCAAGATATTTCTGATAAGTCACTTGCTGTGTTTCCACATTTGTTGCATCAGCTATTACTCATGTACCTATTTGTTTATTACTCTTATTGAAAGAACAGGAGTGAAGTGGGACCAATAAAACTATGCTAACTGATATTTATAGTTCAGCTGTTCAATCAAATTAAAAAACCCTCTAAAACTTGGAATAGAAATCTTTTAGCTGAAACCACTTTTGACATATTATATTCCATTCAGATTTAAATTAAATGAGTTGTTTTGGGCACCTCTAAGGAAGCCAAAGGAATGTAGGTATGGTTTACAAACTGATAATGTAAACCACAAAATCACAGAATGGTCAGGGCTGGAAGGGACCTCCGGAGAACATCTAGTCCAACCCCTCTGCCAGGGAAGGGTCACCTACAGCAGGTTGCACAGGATGGCGTCCAGGCGGGTTTTGAATGTCTCCAGATTGGGAGACTCCACCACCTCTCTGGGTAGCCTGTTCCAGTGCTCTGACACCCTCAAAGTAAAGAAGTTCCTCCTCATGTTTAGATGGAACTTCCTATGTTCAAGTTTGTGCCTGTTACTTCTTGTCCTATCACTGGGCACCACTGCAAAAAGACTGTTCCCACCCCCCTGGCACCCTCCCTTTAAGTATTTATAAGCATTAATAAGATCCCCCCTCAGTTGTCTTTTCTCTAGACTAAAAAGACCCAAGTCCCAAATTCATCCCCTTTGCTTTTATCCGGTAGATCATTACATTTTATCCTCCAGAAAGTGAGAGATTCGAGTTTGTTTTCTCAATAAAAAAGCTATTTGAAGTGGGACAAGTTTCACTGTGCCTTGTTTTATTTTCTGTCTTTGGTTTGTTTCACTTTGCAATTTTAGTGAATTGAACATCGTTCACAGCAGACTGCTATCCTGGCGCATGTTTTCCATGTGGGTGCCTTAATCTGTAGGCTGGAGGGTTTCCCCTCTCCTTCTGTTCCTAGATCTTATTTTGTTGCAAATGGTAAGGCTTAGGAAGAGGGCTGGAATCCCACATCCTCGCCTTGGTGTTTAGGGTACACCTTTGGGGGTGAGACCCCACTTCAAATTCAGTGTCCACCTAAGTCAGGACAAGGACGTACACATGGATGTCTCCAGTCTGTAATATAGTGCCCTGAATGCGATGAAATTATGTGGTCTGAGCCAAGTCTTCTGTTGCAGCTGTTCCAGTTAGGAATCGGGACACTCTCATGGTGGTATGAACACAAGTGTTGTCTCCTACTAACCTCTCCCTGGCCTGCCAATCTGCCGAGCTCAGGTGTAGCTTTCATGGGCTGGGAAGCTCTTCTGCCAGCAAAACTGTCAGCCCTGGACAAGGTTGTGGGCTGCCATGGTGTGACCACCTATGATGCACAGAGGGCACATGAGGGGCACAGCTCAGCCAGGGATGCTAACTGCAGTGTCTGGGATGGGAATACTGGGGACTGGGGAGGTATATTTCCCAGAGATGGCCCCTGCAGCTTCATGCTGAACCATCCAGTAAGGTGGATATAGACTAGCTCTACTTGACTGGCCACATATATCCAGTTCCTTCTTCTAATTCACCAGTCTGTTTAGAAAGGATAGATGGTTTTCCCACAGTGCTCCTACAGAAAATTGAAAGGAAACCCTTATTTTACTGTAGTGTAGAGATAAACCGGTTATGCCCTTCTGAAATGTTGGTTTTGCAATCGCTGAGTACACTTGAGCAGACATTATGATCCTAATGCTATTTCACTGTGTAACTAATCTTACTCAGGTTGGGTTTACTTAGGAGAAATAAACTCAAGTTATGTGTATGAGAGTTATTTCTGCAGTGAATATGTGATTTTTATTTTTTTTTATACCTTTCTTTACACAGGGAATAATAAATTATACTCTTAATTAGAATGAGACAGAAGTCAGTGCTGCTTTTGAAAATTGGAAGCTGACTCAAAGATTGCTTATTCAGTGTCTGGAAACTAAATAGAAGTTTGAGTTCAAGTCACTGAAAAGGTTCTGCTGAAATCCATTTCAACTCCTTTGGCACAAAGCATGCAGGCGGAAGCGTTTCCTTGCCAGTTAACTAACGCTTCTCCTCTTGCTCCTGGTACCATGGCTGATTCAAATCTGTGCAGTTCCTATAGTTAAACCCCACCCTCTCCAAACCCAAAGCACACATGAAATGAAGAAATGACAGGAAAAAGGCCACATGTCACAATAATTACTATGATTTGGTCTGTTATTCCCTTGCTTTCTGGCTCGGTATTTGAGGCTCAGTGTTAATTTGCTTGTATAACTAAAGGTGTTTCCTCTGTTTGTTTATACTAGCTATGATTTCTAAACATCCTTGAAATTATTTGCCATAACATCTCTCCTCATCATGATATTACTTCAATTTGAGCCACTTACAGATAGTGCTTCTTTCTATTTTTTAACAGAAACAGTTGGGAGCCAGAAAAATATGTATTTGTTTGCCTTTCTATTTTTGGTTTGAAATTGCTGGAAGCCAGTAGGTGGGTTTTTATTTTCTGTTTTAAGATTTTATACTCAAACTAAAACAAATATTATGTATGAGGACTGGCATATATCTTAAATTACTGGTTTTAGTAACAGGAAAAAGTTCTTATTAGAAGTTCTTCTGAAGTGCAGCTCTATTTCTGGAAATCCTTTCTTGCTCACTTCAACAGTCTTGTATCCTCTCCCGTTACACTGAATGTTTCTTTCATACGCAGAGGGGTGAGTTTTATAGGACCTGTGCTGGCACTAAAAATTTGGTATGTTTTCTTTCATCTTGTACACGGCACTGATTCTTTCAGCATCCAGCCAAAGGAAAATCATGTAAGGAGTTGACTATTCATCGAGTATGCCAAATGAAGTCACCTGAACTGTCACCTAAATGGATAACTGCTAACTTTGTGTGTCTTTGGAAAATAAACCCTAGCATCTGATGTTGGACTGCACATATTTTGCTCTCCAAAAGGAAAAACTGCAATTCATTATAGAATGGGTGGTCCGGTACGAGATCCCATCCTGCTCAAGAGTGTGGGCATATTAGCTAATTAGAATTCCCAGAAAACACTGGGACTAGCTCAACCAAACTTAAATCAAAGTCTTATAGATTTCTTTCAAAGTAAAACCAAAACAAACAAAAAGCCCCACCCCCAGTTTTACTTATTTATTCTCTATTCATTTCCTAACACTCCTCCCTGCCCCCAAACTCCAAACCACATCCATGAGTTTTATTCTGTTTATGTCTTACAAAAGCTTGGATACCTTTGAATTAGTGTTCCTTAGCACTGGTTAACTTCTAAATTGGTAAAATCAGGTCACGTAACATAGCATTATCTTTGGAAAAGGTTTTTTTTTGAGGTGGTGGGAAGAGTGGGAAGGGTAAAGTTGGCAGGTCAAAAGTGTATTAACACATTTTTTTTTCTCTACTGTCAAGACTTATGTTATATGAAAATATAATACAGAACGTAAGTAAATAAAACTCTCTCTTTTTACAGCTTTTCCACTAAGCTCTGAAAACATTAATGGAAGCTGATGGCAATGCTCTTGTAAGTATAACTGAAGTTATGCCAGAGTAACTACTGATCAGCTGAAGAGGTTGTATGTTGAGGTCGTGTCTTTGTAATCATAGAAGACTGTGGAAAACATCAATATCTAAACAGGATATTGCTTATGGGCCGGGCCAGGCCAAATGGTGAGGTTGCCACAGGCTGACCCAGTTCTGCTTTAAGGGTGAAATGAAGTCTATTGTATGGGCCTGATGCTACTTCCAAGTCACACCCCTCAAGGGATGAGAAAACAGTAACTTAGGACACATGAGCTTATCAAAGAATTTTCCTAGCCACATATCTAACTATTGACAAGCTTAAGGAAAATACAGCTCTGCAGAAGATGATCTATTGATCATAGCTGCCTCTGGAGCCTTCTCAGACTCATGCATTGTGACATGAGACATGAAGTCTGGTTGTTGGTATTAGCCCAATACCTCTGCTTCCCCCAAAACAGCCTCATACACCTATTTCCCTGGGGAGTCTGCAGGCTGTAAGCCCCTCAGTCTCTAGGCAGAAGCATCCCCTGGGGTGACCCTCCACTGCTCCTGGCAGCCCTGCAAAGGGATGCTGCCCACCTGAGTTTGGTTCCCGGTGATGTTTGCTCAAGGCCACCCATTTGGAAGGGAGGCTGGAAACATGTAGCCTCCATGACATACCTTTGCAAATCCTTGCTGTCAGGCAAGGACAAGATAAGGGGAGCCACAAGGGTGTGGGCCCGAGGAAGCTCTATCAGCTGCTAATGAGTGTGATTAGCTGCTCTAGACCAGGAGTGCCTGGAGCCTTTGATGCAGCTCCCTTTGATTAGGGAAGGTCAAGCATCCTTTAACTGGTGCTCAGGAGTGTCCTATCTAAGACTTAGGCCCAGACAGAAGACAACAGACCCAGCAGCACAGTGTGAAGGAGTGAAGTAAGGGGGTCTTTGACGTGGTGGTAACAGGGCAGTTTCCCTAACAGATGTGGGACCAGCTGCCCCTGCTAGGGTAGAGGCTTCCACACAGACTGAGCTTCAGATGGTGGATGCTGCCCTCCAAGTCCCAGGCTGCAGGAAATGCCTGGGACCTCCCTCTGAGGCCAGGAGAGATGGCCCTCTGCCCTGCAGGAGGTGTGCCATCTTGGAGGCATTGTGCTGCCAAGTGGAGGAGGTACAGGAGGAAGTGAGCAGGCTGATGAAAGGGAGATAGATATGGTCTTCTCTGAGACACAACAGCTTGAAGACCCTCAGTCCCCAACTGCAATGGACAAGTAGGCAGTGTCTACTCCAGCTATCAAAGTAAGCAAAACCTCTGGAGAAGGGGAAGGATGGAAGTAGAAGACTTCTAGTACCAAGAGGAAAGCTCCTGCCCCACCTAAGAACTTGCAGCTGCAAAATAGGTTGATTACCCTCAAAACTGAAGAGGAGCCAAGTTCAACCATACTGTCATTCTGTGGAAATATAAACTGACAGAAGTCTCTCACTGAAGTTGTCACTTCTCTCATACAATTTTGCTCATCGGTGGAGCCTGCCTAGCACAGAAGGGGCTGTGAACAACATTCAGTTGTACATCTCTCTTTGCAAGTGGCTCATGGGTGTATTTGCCAAGTGGAGGATGCCAAGTTTGAAGCCTGCATTGTCCTGCAGGATCGCTATCCCATGTTCAGCCTTCAGGTCTTGGTAAATCGATGAGTAAACCAAAACCTACCAAAAAAGATTAAAACCTACCCCGTATCGGCAGCCTTGCACAAAAATGATGACCCTCCTAGAGTAGCAAATAACTAATGTTTTGCATTTATTTCAGAGCTTTTTGAGGATTATTGCTTTTGGATTTTCCCTGATAACAACAAGAGCTAAAAATATATCTGATTTTTTTTTCGTTAGTTTTTCAGTTGAACCTGTGATAATGAAATAAATCATTTGTTATCGGGAAATTGAGCTTTGTAGAGAAACATCCACCACTGTCAGAAGCATAGTAAAATAATGACATTTGGTTCAGTTTCAGATTGTTCTAGTGTCTATGTCTGGTAGCTACAGTACATTAACATCTGAAACTGCTGTTATGCCCCTGGTCTGCATCATTGGTTTTACTGGTAATAACTCTGCCTTCCACAGTTTTCTCTCTGTTCTGCATTGGTGGTAATGTGCCCTATTAGGAGTGAAACTTAAAAGTATCTCTTAGTCAATGTTCACCCAGGCTCACTGAAATGAAAGACTGTTGACTCTCATAAGCTAGTTTTCAGAGGAGGAAATTTTAATTTACTTCTTGAGGAAAGGTTGGACACTGGAAACTTGGTAATGTGTTACATTCTCGTGGAAAACTGAATCCAAATCCTATTGGTGAGGCATTTTCTGAATTTTTAGATTCATTTAAATATAGGTTTTCTATTGGTTTAAGATGAAAACAGTTTCACTGAAAACTGTTTCTTTACTTTGTAAAATATCTATCGGCTCCAAACACTGGTGCTTTGGAGAAAGAGGTTGCTTTTATTTGATTCATTAATGGATAAGATTTGGGAAGACAATTCTGTGAATAACACCAGAGTTCATTGCTGCAGTCCAGGATTTGAGGTTTCTCTTGTGCAGAGCAAAATAGATATTTTTATAAGATTACACCATGCTTCTGAAGACCACTAAAAACATTTTAAATTGCTGAATTCCAGGTTTCAGATTAATTTGAAGTTGAAAATTTACTTCAGTTTTCAGGAATACTGGAAAAGAAAAACAGAAATGTATCTTATTTCATGAAATTTTACTAAGCAATGATTTTATTACAGATTTATCACTGATTTTATCCAGACAAACTAAACACAGTGCTGACTGGGGAAACTGCCCTTCCTTCCCTCACTGATTTCCCAACTTCTCCCACAAAATATGAAGAGAAGGGGATTCATCACCCCTGTCAACTTGCAGCAGAATACCATCATTGCCACTGAGTAATAAATGCATATTTGTAAATTCTTTTTGCTACCCCAAGGTCTTACTAGGTAATCAGTTTTTTTCCCTCAGTCTATATATAAAGCAGGCCTTAGCAGACCACTTACATAGTATGTATATTAACCCTTTTTTGACAGATGAGCCATAGACCATGTTATTTTGCTTTAGATCATCAGTAAGGTTGGTGGAAAGATCTACTTCTTCCTCGGTTGTTTACAGAGAGCCACATCCTGTCTCAGTATCGCTCTTGTTGTACAACTTCATGTTAGTTAAAGATGAAATGACCCCACTGTAGTATCATGGCAAAGATGTGATGTTGTCCCACTACATAGTTTTTGTGCAAGGAGAGCTGATTCATATTTGTTTTTCTTAATACCACTTTGGGTAGCTCTGAAGGAAAGTAATTAGTGTGACTGTGTGACCCATTGCTTCATTGAGACTATATATTATTTCCAATTAGCGTGACTGCATGACCCATTGCTTCATTGAGGCTGTATATTATTTCCACGTGTCCTAAATAGGGCATTACTTTCTTTGGAATGAAGACACGAAGGGCGGCCTGTGTAGGATGGGGAAATTGTGGAGCCTCCAATAGAGCCGATGTGTTTTCTCATTGCTTTTCTTTGTCTGTTGTCATGGAGAATAGCCTGAGAGAGAGAGAGAGAGGCAGTGATAGAATTGAAAAGAAAAAAGGAGAAAGGAATATGAGATGATTAAGCAGGAGTCTGGGATTATTCATTCCTGGTAAAGCCTCCCACAAGTGTGTTGTTCAGGTCATCTCAAATAGGCACCAGATAAGCACACAACTGCGATATGTGGTTCTGCACACTGATCCATGCTGCAAAGATCACTGGTTAGAGAAAGTTCTAGCTCTTGTAAATACCGGTGGCGGTGGTCTCTTCTATTACCGTTTCCAGATGATGTAGCTTTACTCATCTTTAATTTGCCTGTGAGAAGAGCCATCAAATCCTTCAAGAATAGTATGAAATGGGGTTTTGTTTTCCTGAAAAGCAGGCTGGCTCGGCAGAGGGGCTGCATTAAGGATGTTCATAGCGTAGCTCTGCAGCGGATCAGGTAGCTACTGGCTTTGCATAGCAACGTTGTGGCCCAGCATATTAAATCATACGTCACCTTATCCAGCATTTGTCATCTGGAGGCTTCAAAACCTTCCTAAAAATAGAAAAAGGTGAATGCTTTTGTTCCCATGCTAGAGATGGAAAGGTTGAGGCAAAGAGAAGTCAAGTGCTTTGTCCACAATTGCGCGACCAAACAGTCTGTCTGGGGAGAATTTACTCCAAAAGCCAGACCTTACATTTCTAATGACCTCTTTTTCTGTCCGTGGTCTTCTGTTTTAGTTTCATTTTCTATGTCTTTAAGTGGGATGAGATATATAGACTGCAAATGAGTAAATATTGTGTTATTTTTGCAGTGACTAAAACTCTCATATATGGCACGGCAAATTTCTGGCATATTTATGTTTTACAATTTGGATAATCTGCCAGGTTTGTGTGATTATTTATTTATTTTTTAAAAGAAATATTATGAAACTTTTACATAGAGGGAAATACATTCTCTGCACTAAATTAAAGGAAGAGGAGTGGAAAATCATTTTTTTTTTTTTCCTTTTTCTGGACTTCTTAAAATGAGCTAAATGACAATCGGACCCCTAGCATGTATTTTTAATCTCGCCATGTTTGCAAATCTCCCTCGGGAGTGTAACTTATTTATTTATTTATTTTGTAAAAGAAATATTATGAAACTTTTACATAGAGGGAAATACATTCTCTGCACTAAATTAAAGGAAGAGGGAGTGGAAAATCATTTTTTTTTTTTTCCTTTTTCTGGACTTCTTAAAATGAGCTAAATGACAATCGGACCCCTAGCATGTATTTTTAATCTCGCCATGTTTGCAAATCTCCCTCGTGGAGTGTAACGAAGCATTAAAATGTTGTAGTCCTAACTCCTATTTTTTAACTTCTGAACACAGAATACAATTCAGGCAAACACATAGCAAAGTAGAAGCTGCTTGTGGGTGTGAAACAGGAAGCACCAGTAGATAGACACATGTATAATAGAGTTATGTTTGCTCTTGCTCAAGTAGATATACATCAATTTTAATTAACACGTTTTATGCTTCAACTACTAACGTCCCTTCAGCAGTGAGTGGGTTATGCGTTTCCATCCTGCATATACCACCAGCATCACCACCACGTCCTTCTCTAGCTTCCCCCTCCCCTTTCTACACAAATGTTGCAACACAATCTGAAATTTCCTCTTTTCTTTCCTTCCTGCATTTCTTACAGGTTCCCTTGCGTCAGAAGACAAAAAAGAAAAGTCAAGGTAATGAGAGACTGTTTTTTCTTTCTCTTCTGTGTTCCTCTTTTGTTATTTTCTTAGTATGTCTTATTCTTGGGAGGGTGAGGATTTTATACTGCTACTCAGCCGGTGGAAGGCTGCTTTTTAACTCCACTGATTCTTGCACTGATTCTGGGAAAAAATGACAACGGGCTGTTCCTTTGGACTAAATCCTTGTGGTATGTTAATTGAATCAAAGCTGGAAATCAGTGAGGTAGAATCAGCTGCCTGCACATACACACACACACACTAGCGGTTTTCATGTACTTGGCATAATAGTTTTCTCTAGCTGACTTAAATAGACGTATTCTTTTCAGTGCAGCTGTGCGAAGGGAAATATAGGCATGCTTCTCTTAAAGTGATCAAAGGATATATTTTTAATTTACAAAAACTTGTGTATGGTTATCTTAGCATTAATTGGTGTCTGCATTATCTATAGCTTACTGTTGTTTTTTTTTTCTGCACGTCAGAATGCCTTTCAAATGAATGTGTGTTACTGCCACAGCCATTATAAAACTGAACGACTTCTAAGTATATTTTAAGATATGCTTGGATGACTTGCTGAGATTGCTAAGTAAGGTTGATAACTTTAATTGGCAGCAACATCTTTCCTGGTAAAGCACTTTTAAACAAGCAGAACACTTTATTTTTAATGGCACAGGGTTCTTTATAATGAGCCGACGGAGGATATCGTGTAAAGAGCTGGGGCAAGCCGATTGCCAAGGATGGCTCTACAAAAAGAAAGAAAAAGGAGCTTTCATTGGCAACAAATGGAAAAAGTTCTGGTGTGTGCTGAAGGAGTCATCGCTCTATTGGTACAGCAGTCAGCTGGTGAGTACAGCGTCCATCCAGCTCTGGGTGCCGGACAAACAGTATCTGCTGGGACTGAGAGAAGGGGAGCTGGGGGTCACAATTTAGATGCACCCTGGAGATGTACAGATGACTGGGTTTATTTCTGAGCCCTGACATTTCTTGTAATCTGGGAAGTGTCTATGTGAATGTGAAACATGCAGAAAACTATGTGTTTTCTAGTTCAGCAAGTACTTGTGAAATGTTAACTTGCTGTCTGTTCTGCCCTTTAAAGAGCTGCTCTTTGCAGGCACTGGTGGCATTTGAATTTGGGAAAGGTTTTCCTGGGTTGGGCAATTTGTAGACATTTGCTATCAAGACTCAAAACAGGAACGCTTCTTCACTTCTAATTAGTTTAATTTTCAGAAGTCTCTTTCCTGCTTATCTCTCCATCCCCTTTCACGCTGAAATTAATCTGTTTATTTGTTTGCTTTTTTGTTTGGGGTTCTTTTTTAATTTCCTCTCTTTTTTCTCCCCACCCCCCACCCCCCCCAGTTTGCACTGGTAGGGTTGCAGATATGAATGTTGTCGGTGATATTTTTACTCCTGGTATTGCTGATGGTCTCATCCAGGGCATTGTAGTTAGAGGTTCTCATGTTCTGCTGATTTTTGACTTCTGTCTCTGATGAGTCAATGCTAAAAGTCAAATCTGCAGGAGGACACAGTGTTTTGAAGTGAAGGTCCAGCTTTCTGTTCAGAGGATGAGCTTTTCTCAGGACAGCTGGTATAGATAGCATTTTTCTTCCATCCAATCCAGCCCAAATAGCCTACTGCACTTACAACGTGAGCAGGAAATAGCCTGAGACAAAGAACAGCAGGCCCTGAATTCCTGTAATCAATTGAAGAAACTAGGAATTAACAGCTGAAGAGGGCAGGGGGGAAGACATAATGAGAAATCCAGAGTAACCCTTTTAATGAAATGTTATGGCTGAGTGCAAAGAAGCAGTGAGTCCTAGGGAACAGCCGTTTTTATTCCTGGTTGTTTGCTACAGCTTGGCAGAGAGGGTGTCTTGCCCGTCCTGGGAAGATTCAGACATAATTATTCTCTTCAATTTGCTCTCTTGCACTGCTACCCTTAAGAAAACTCCCGTTGTGTTCAAATGATGGACTGACAGAGCCCAGAATTGGGACGTGCAGAGGATTAGAGGACACAAGCAACAACACAGATTGAAACTCAGATGCTTCCATGTAGAATTGTGGATGGGCATCAGTTTTCCTAAGTGCAAATGGGCTGCTCTGGAAATCAGCATATTGCAGGCCCAGCAAAGGATGAAAGATTACAGAAACCTTTATTAATTCTTAGAGCATTTTAAGAAATTAAATGTAATCTGGATTGTTTCCACTTGTTTATTTCTATTGCAGTAATCCCCATTTAAAATCTTGCTAACTGTTTCAAGGAGCAAATGAAATAGTTCAAACCATAAAATAAACCCCAAAACCCTAAAGAAAACTTTACTCATGTAAAGAGTATTTCACATTCTCCCTTCAGTTGTGGGTACAGTGTTAGGGTGTTTTTTTTAACAGAATAAAAACTTTGACTGACATTTAAAGATGGTATAAGCTATTCTTTTTTTGGGTAAAAGTGGGCTGTTGTTTTTTGTGGTGTTGTGGTAGTCTGGTTTAGCTTCCTTTCAAGACCAAGTCAAATACCTGCATGAGAGAAAAAGAGAAAGAAAAAAATAGGAAAAGCAGAAAAAAAAAAGACAAATTAAAGGCTTTGTTTTCCCAATACTTACAATATCTCTGCTTGAAAAACAGGGCCTGGCAGATATACTCATCAGCAGCATTAATACCCTGCAAATGCTTATTAACATTGGCTGTTCTAAATCACTTCTTGCAGTTGAACTTCTGGCCCAGCAGTGTTAAGAAAGGGGAGCTGGCTGGCTGATGTGCCTTTTAGACTTGGGAAGTGTCAGAAAGGAATTATTCTGAGGAGTAATCAAGCTGGGAGGAAATTAAGCAAGGCAAGATTAGGCAAAGTTTCCCTTCTGGGAAGAGAAGGGTCATGGGGGAGAGATGCAAAGTCCTCCACTTCCTTTAGTTGTTGCTGCCTGGCTAAATTCTGCTCTTGGGATCCAGAGAAGCTGTGGTCATGCTGATACCAGTGCTCCTGGACAGCATTCGTTATTTGGGTGAACTCATCTTTTTAGTCCATGCCTGCTTTCCAGCTGTCACTGGCTGCCCCAAAATGAACAAGGCTGAAGAACAGGTGGCATCCTCGTTCTGATTTATTTTATATGCTCTAAAGAGCTCATATGGCTTCAAAACACTGTTGTCTTATGTCAGCCCTGACTTCTCACCTATCACAGTTCTTCTTGTAAATGAGCTAGCTGGTAGCACCTCTTTGCTTCCAACTTCTGCTGACTCTCACATGCTATTTTACGTTAAAAACTTGAGGTTTCTTAAACAATTTAAAGTGCAGCCTCTGCATAACTGTAGGTTGAGGTAACGTTTGCAGAATGGCAGTAACTAGAGGGTGTGGGAAGGAGAGGAGGTATCCTTTGCTAAGATCTGCTTACTTAAATTGATGAGACCAGAGCCTGCTCAGGATCATATCTGAGGTGAACTAGACCCATTGTGTTTTCACAGATATTTTCACCTCTACATTGATGAAAGAGAAATAGCAGTGACATATTCACTGGCTTGCTTGATATTTCTTTAACTTCTGTACCTGGCCTGTCTTTAGTACTGCCTGCACTTCCACTGCTTTCAGTGGAGTTAATCCTTGGTCCCAAAAGGGCATCCAAGATGACAATCTTAAGTTCATAGTGGTGTTGGAAGAGGAGAAGCCCTCCTCCTCCTGTGCCCAAGGATTCCCATGACCCTCTTTGAGGCTGAAGTAAAAGGTGGTGGCAGAGGAGTGGGGCTGAGGTCAAAGGAACTGGGGCATGCTGGTTGCCTGTACCTCTGCCTGACCAGTTTCATTCTTGTGAGGAATGAGCATATTTTGTTCGAGGCTGTGTGGAAACCGCAGTCAACCAGACACTGGCAACTGTAGCATAGCAACGGGGTGCTGGACCTAACCTTTTTTTCTAATGGAGATGGAAAAAATAGGGAGTGGGTGGAATTTGTATAGGAATGTGCTTTGTCCTGGATTTGGATAGGTAACCTCAGCTGACATCATGTTCTCGGTGGAGCCTGTCTTCAGGCACCTCCAAAGCTCTGGATGTTTCTGTCGCTCTGATTTAATTTGCCTTCAAACTACTCTGGTTCTGGGTCTTTCACATGAGGCAGATAAGGGGAGGCGATACAGGACATTTGTGGTGACATTTGCAGATGGTAGTTCCTTCAATTTAACATGAAATACCTTGTGAAAGCCACAACTCAAAAGAGAAAGAAATAATAAAATGCCGAAAAGGGTCAGCAACAGCAGATCAGACACCGTGAGTGTCAAGATTTTCCTTCACTGAAAGCAAGCCAAAGCACATAGGCAAATCCAAATAAGCTTTTGACCGGCTAGCTGAGGTACTGAGACTGGTGAAGTTACGGTCCTGGTGGTCTCAGCAGGCTTGGATAGACCGCCCTGAAAACTCTTCCTATGTCCACTTGCTCTTTCTACAAAACATGAATACGTAAACTTTTGTTTGCAGCATGGATGTGCCCCCAGTCTGGGGAGGGGAACTTGTTTGGACTAGGGAGAACAGACCCCACAGAAAGGTCGGTTTTGCAATGGAAGCTCAGAAAATGGATCTGAGCAGTCAGACTTTCTGGGTGCCTTCAGAAACACCAGACTCCTTGGACAACTGCTCTTCATTAGCATTTGGTTCCCTCTTCCGACTACTGTTCTCTGTAGGGAACTGGCTTAACGACAAGTGTTTAAAGAGGACAGTGTGTGATCTCCTGCCCCTTTAGCAGTTTTAGTTCTCATACTGAAACCCTGGAGGGAACCAGTACTCCTGCACAGGAAGAGGGGTGGAAGGGGAAGATCGTCAAACGTAATCCCAGGCTCCTGTCTCCTTGTACTTGTTGCGGCTGTGTTGGATACTGTTGGCTGGAAAGGGACTAAATGCCTCTGTCTTGTGGCCCTTTAGGATAGCTCCTCTGGTTTTCCAAGTAGAGTTGAAATACAGTTTTGCAGGATGTGTTAATGATGGTTGTCATGGGGATTCAGCTGAAAAGAAATATAAATATAAAATGAAAGGGTTGCAGGCTGTGATCTGCTGTCACTATTTATCTTTGGGTTTTTTTTGCCTGTTCACTGCATTTAAATTGGTCCTCACTCCAACAGCTCTGCCAGGAACTGTATAATTGTAGTCTTTTAAAACAGAAACCTTTCACCTTTGAATTATAGTAGCTGCTTCTGAGAATGATAAAAAGTCACTGATGTCGGCTGATTGCGCTGAGAGATTTGGGAACCTCTGGTCCAATATCTTACACATTATTATTCACAGTTCCATAGGTTGCCTCACTGGTGTACTTGGCAGAGAGAAAAAAGACTAAAAAGTCTTAAGGACTGAACTGCTTCTCCAACACCCACAGGGTCTTCTGGGGGCAGCGCTGAAACGCTGTGATGAAGCCATGAGAAGTACTCTGAATTGCAGATTGGAGCTGTTCCACAATAACTAGATACTTTCACTTTCCAGCACTTTTTTTTTTTTAAATCTTTCTGCACAATTACATGTGCTTTAAATATTGAAAAAGGTCTATTAAATCTTACTAAATCTCCTAAAGCCACAAAATTTAGACAATGTATTGAGGCAAGCTGAAAAGGACATTAGCCTCTTTCATTGGATTCATGCATCATGTTTTGTAAATATGTTTGAATTCTTTTGAGTGAAAAGCTTTTTCTGTACTCTCTTTTTTGTCCCCAACATTTGCAGAGACTGTTGTTATTATTGAAATTATTTTCCTGCAATTGGGTGCAGCAAAAAGTGCAGATTTATATGTTAGGCTAACCTGTATAAAAACCACAAGAGATAACAGCTTATTCTTTTAAACATCCTGATTAAATAGGAAACACATTAAGGTTCTTTTAATCTGAGTTTTTTAGGGTTATTTTGCAGCACTGCAAGAAAATCTGAAGGAATTTTGAGTGAAATGTGTGAGTTAAATAACAGCATGCTTAAAGTCACATTAAAGATAACTTTTCAGAGAAGAGAAAACATTTAGAACTTCCATACACTTTCAATGTTTTAAGATGTCATTTTTATGCTGAGAATGACCAAAAAGATGATTTCCACATGTTCTGTTCGTAGTGCTTATTTGGAATTCTATTTGCTGACTGTAATAACGCTCATAAGGTTTTGCTGTTATGATTTTGTTTCCTTTTTTCCTTCCCTTTTCTGATAATGATGGAACTACATATCCATCAAACCCCTGTTTTGTGCTATATAGATGGCACATCCAAGATGTGTACCAATAGTTCACTAAAGCAAAAAATCCACACCATTATCCTCCTTTCTTTCACTCATACATAAAATGAAACATTAAACTTTTCTTATAAATGAACAAATGTGAAGTCACTGACAAAATTAATATAAAACCTGAATTCATTGAACATGATCTTTTACCAACTGGAATGTGTCAAATACTGCATAAGAAGTCTGGAGATTTCTCTGTTGTAAAAGTGGTAAATGTAAATTACTGAAATCAAAGCCTACAGACCTACATTCATTAACAATTTCGAGAGTACTCCTCTAATTCAGATACTTATTGTATATGTCAGTGGTTCGAGTTCCATCTCTGTATGCGTGGGAACTCCCCAGGTGAGTGTCCCCACACTGGCTTACAGGTTCTGATATTTCACTAGTCCAATACAAAATCCAAATGCTCAAATATTTGTATACCTTGACAGTGGAGACAGTGGCTTATCTAATGACATTGCACAGTCTTAATCTCCTCATCAGTGCTTGTGCAGCAGCCTAAGCAATTTATAGGATGTAATCAAAACTGATGGCTACTGCGCCAATAGATAGAACTGGCTGAGCTGTGACTGCATTCATAACATGTAAGGCCAACCCATCCCAGACCGTAGTCACCCACTCACCCATCTGATGGCTTACTTAGCTCAGGCCATGGATTTATTGGTGTGTGGGTGAGAAGGTACCTGGGTATATTCCTTCATGTGTGGTCTTCTGGATCTCGCCTTTTTTTTTTTTTTTTTTTTTTTTTAAACTGGGTTTATTGATTCATACTGCAGAGAAAAAGCTGGCATTGTATACATTTGTCATCCAGAAATGTGCATAGTAATGGCTTTGATACCTCATGAACTGCTTTTGTGAGGTTGGTCTCTGGTGTTCTTAGACTGGTCTTGAGAACCAAACAGGAATTTCAGTGGTCTCACTGCACCTGGTCTAGTAAGTCACCACTCTTTTTGGCACAGAAATGAAAGATAGTACATTCTCTATGTTTAGTACAATTCAGCCCATGAATAGAGCTCCTCCTTTACTATGCTCTACTCATTCACTCATCCCTGTATACTTGGTGTACTATGGATCTGGGATGGAAATACTAGCTTGAGGTCTGATTGATTGAAATATACATTAAAAAAAAAAAATTAAAATATGTTGTCACTTTTTTTTCTTTAGTTAATGGTTATTTTATCTCAATAAGTTTAGTCTCACTGAATTTCAACCTGTGGAATGGAAACAAAAGATCCCCAAGCCAGGCTCTAAACAAGTTTGCCAGATACAAATATAATCAGAGAAAGTTAAAAACCCGCAATAGCAAATAAGCACTTTTTGGTACAAATTAAACCACATTGCAAAATCAAAGTTTTTTCAGCCCAGATGCTGATAAACATAATTGTGTCTTCTGTACTGAAAGAAAACAAAAAAAACCCAAACCCTTCCTTCCCCCCCTTCCTTCCCCCCCTGGAGCAGGAAAAGCTATTTACTGGTGAAGAAGAAAAATATAAACCTCATATGAATAGTTAATAATGTAAACTGCAGAAATGATGGTTATGCCATGATTTATTGTATATTCCTTCCCCCCCTTCTTTCCCCCCCTTCCTTCCCCCCCTGGAGCAGGAAAAGCTATTTACTGGTGAAGAAGAAAAATATAAACCTCATATGAATAGTTAATAATGTAAACTGCAGAAATGATGGTTATGCCATGATTTATTGTATACCAAAGAATAGATATGCAGAGGTGCAGGGAAGCCACCCAGTGAAATATCTATTCTGTATCCGTATTTCAGTTCTCAGAGATTCATCCTTCCAAGCATTAAAGCTCAAAGGCTTGTCTCGATGAACATCTTTTTATAGTCTTTTCATATTAATGCATAATATGACTTGAGATGCTGTCAGTCGTCTTCATTTATCCTCTGTCTTTGTAATTGTTGAGTGTATTTTACCTACTTTAACTCAGTGTACATTATCTGAATTTTAATGTGCCCAGGGATAAGGGCTGGGAGCAGAAAAAAAAGTGATTCAGGAATGAATACTTTCTGTAGTTTGAAAAGTAGATTTTTCCTGACATCATGTGCTACAGACTTATGTCTACATTATTGCTCCTCTTAGGAGTCGTCCTATTCTTATTGCAGCTGATTCAGTGAAAGTAGATAGGTGTAGTAAAGGAAGATGTTTCAGCTTCAGGCAGCAAGAACAGGGGTTTGAGACTAACTGGTAACTTCAGTATTGCTGGAGCCACTTTCTGAGACAGAGTCCAGCTGACCCGGAACAGAGATGCCAATGCTCAGTAAACCATCTCCCAACCAGAAAGGGGTGACTGCATCTAAACAGTGTACTGTAAATGTCTGCCTGGCTTTTGCTTCCTCCTGTACTGTGCCTGCAAATTTCTGAGGGAAGTGGTAGCTGGGTGGCCAAGGCCATCTGAGGCCGGTTTGCAGTGTTTAACAACAGAGCTCAGCTGCGTGGGACCATCCCCTTGCATCATTTCACCTCCTGGTGTGAGAGCAGCCCATGTTGCCTCTGCCTTGCTAACGCACAGGCATATGTAGGTGACCCTATGAAACAGACCGTGACCCTACGAAACAGTCCATGTTACACTTATGGAGGAGGGTCTCCCCTGGATCTCTACCTAGGATCATTTTGGGTCACTTTGGAATTCCCATCGCTATAGACATGCATTGTTCAAATATACATAGATCACTAGATGTGGTGCTGTTACGCACCCGCATGCTGTATGACACATGTGCATGCTGTATAATGGAACAAACGCTCCTTTGAGATTGTATGTAACATCGAGACCTGAATGGATGATATGACCCTTATTTGTCCCCTGCTATGTCATCCGTCTCTTTTGAGAGGCTTCTGCTTTCAGAGCTGAGGTTCAGTAGTTCCATTTTCTGTGGTCTAAACACAAAGCGTGGCTGGGCTCTTCATTGAAAGAAATTATGTGATCACTGATGACTGCAAAGGAATCGGGCTGCTCCACCTTCCCGCTGTTTTTAGTCCAGATTTGATCCAAACCTGAATTTTGCCCTTGACAGTTTCAGACTCGGCACTAGACTTATGACTTAACCATGAATCTTAGGTAAGGGTGCTCAGGCACAAATGCTTTGAGGTAAGGAGGACGGGGAATCTACCTCAGCACTATTGTAGGAGCTGAGGATCCTTCCTTTTTCAGGTGCTTTGCTATTTGGAAGCATACGACAAATCCTATGCTCACGCTGCTGCTTGCACAGACAGGAGTGGTGGCTTTCTAGCATCCAGGACTTGCACAAAGAGTAGCTGGTATAGGAATATTTCTTGTTCACAAATATCAGCCAAAACATCAGGTGCTAATCTATCCCCATGGTGATGAGCATATATTTTCTCACTATAAAAAGCTGTCAAAAACGAGCACTTCATGTTATATATCGTTGAGCATTGGAGAGTCTGGTAGTTTACCAATTGGTTAATGTGGTGATTTTATTTATTTTTTTTTTTTTTTTCAGGCTGAAAAAGCAGAAGGATTCATCAGACTTCCAGACTTCAGCGTGGACCGAGCAATCGAATGCAAAAAAAAGCAGTAAGTTTATCTCTTGCCCCCGGTTTTGCATGATTTTTATAACATTGCAAAGAACTGAATCTCAGTAGTGCCTGACAATGAAGCTGTGGGGAGCTCTTCTGTGTTGTATAAATAATGAGATATTAATTGAGCTACTGAAAGAAAACCATATTGCAAAAATATTTTTGAAAATTCTCTGCCAGATGTGCTCTGTTAAAGCTACAAATGAAAAAGTAGATCAGCATGCCAAATGCTTTTTTTTTTCCTTCTCTTTGTTTGCTGATTATGAATAAGTTGTATTCGATCTTAGATACCTTCTCTTAGGTGGGGAGGTCAACAGTGGTGCGAGTAATGCTGCTTCCATTTGACTTGGGGCTATTCTTTAGGCTGCAGCTTTGATTAGCAGGGTACAAATTTCAACATATTCTCTCTAAACTCCATACGCAGCACTGACTTCCAGCTGCTTCTGAGTACACTTCAAAGGTTTGGAGGGGTGGATTTTATTCTGCCACTTAAGAGAAAGACTTCGTTCTTCTGTTTGGTTCTCACACAGATGTTAGCTGTAGGTGTTCCTGAGACTAACTGTGGGCTTGACTTTTCCAAAGAAAGAGGACAGCTATTTTGAATACGGGGAGCTCCATTTTATTTTCTCAGAGGAAAGGTTGAGTCACATAGGACAGGACCATGAGAAAATGTTGCCCTTCACTTCTGCAGCTGTCTGCTGTCAGTGACTGGGAGGAAAACATGTGCTCATCACTTATTTGGGATGGGGTAAGTTAGGAGAACTTCAAGGAGTGACTGGGGCTGCTGGGGCTCAGTCAAATAGCCACAGGACAGAGTCATTAACCTACTGAGGAACAAAAGAGGGAAGCCACACAGTGTCAGGATCGGAGACTATGTTTTAGGAAAAAATCCCCAAACCCTCACCTTCTGAAAAGTCTTAGTGATGGCTGTTCAACTAAAGCATAGTCTGGGGCTGATATCAACAGGTAAACTATTGGTATGTCAAAGGACTACCTCCATTTCGTTTGTTTCAAACCTGCTGCCTCGTTGCCTCTTTGGTGCCTCCTAAAACTTGTCTTGGAAAAGACAGTGACAAGTCCCTATTCACCTGCTACGTGCCGCCTGTGATTTTATTGTATTATATCTCCCTTCTCTCAACCATCAGTTTTCCATCCTGTGGGGTCTTAGCCTGATTAATCACTTATGGGAGATGTTCCATACCTTGGGGAACCCCTGGTGCTTTCTCTGAACCTTTTCCAGGTTTGCTATGATTTTCTGAGCTGGAGAAAGCAAAGCTGCACACAGTGTTCGAGATGTGGGCACATAACTGAATTATGTAATGGCGTAATGAAGGTCTGTCTTTGTTTTATTCTTCATTCTTTTCTTTCTAGTTCCTGTAGTTTATACCCTCTGAATAATGTGTGGCCTAGGAAATGAGCTAAAAATAGACTAGAGTTTTAAGGAAAGAGCTATATGGATGGATAAACTGATCTGGATTAATATAGTGGAGTGAACAAATATTTTAAATAATTTATTCAGCCATTTTTTCTTTTCTCATGTAAATTAGTTTTCTTCATCTCTCTTTTATTTTTCTTTTCTTAAAGTGCTATTAAGATCAGCCACCCACAGATCAAGACATTTTATTTTGCAGCAGAAAATGTTCTGGAAATGAACACGTAAGTAGGAGCGACTGGCCATGCTTCATTCTGTCTCATGCCTGAGAACACCCTTTGAAAGTTCATTCTCTCACCGTCAAGCAGTTGTTGACAAAGTTATTTGGGGAATTACTGAGTCTGTTTTGTTTTCTGGTCACTGTATAGAAGAAAAATACCGCTTTTTTTTTTTTCACTAATGACAGTTGAAATCAGAATCACAGTATTAGCCTGGTTTTGATACTAATCTTCCCAACACTTGTGGTATAAATCCCTTTCTGTTAGAGAGGCGCAAAGGTTTGATAGCAAGTTCATCACCTTGGGAGAAATGAGGAAAGAAAGGAAAGAGAGAGAAAGCTTAACATAGCTTTGTCCCAGAGCTGATCTAGGACTAGAATATAGTATTGTCTGCTTTCAGAGTCGCGTGTCAGTTAACAAGGGGGGTTAAAGGGGTAGAAGAGGCTGTTTCTTTAATCTAAGTAAGCATTTACTTCACTGCCAAACTATGATGCAGTTAAGTGACCCTTATGACAGATCAGAAATTTTCTTTCCACAAACATCCATCAGAACAACAATTCATTCATGCAGTTTTTAATGCAAGAAGTAAAACTGGATATGAAACTGCCAAGGAAAAATGCATATGAAACTGCTATTTTAGAACCCACTGAGGTATCAGAAATAGATGTTACTTGCTTTTGATCCAGTTTTGCCTGATTTAGGTACACCTCATGTCTTCTTTGTCTATTTTACTTCAGATTGCAATCTGTTCACAATGCTATAGCATCAAATGGCAAAATACTGGATATAAAGCAATGCAATTTAAATGGGAAGAGAGCTCATATGATAGTCAGGTCAACATTTTAATCATGGCTCTGCTGGTGACCTTTGTGAGATTCTTCGTAGGGCATTGACTGTTCTTCCTGTCTGTAAACAGGAGACTTCATACATATTTACCACATCAGAAAAGGATAGAGGTTGAGAGAATGTCTGTGACCTTCCAAAAGGGCTATAGATGCAGAATTGTACGATACTACAATAGTCTATGTACATACATATTCATAAATCTGCAATCTATAGATGCATGCAAGTAAATATAGACGGAAAGAATGTGTTGCCCTTTGCTACTTGGAGCAACACAGAGCATACTGGTGGGAAGATAACCATCTGCTTCTGCATCACTTCGTTTCCTACCGGAGCTCCTGAATGGAGTGAAGTACTTGGGATGGATGGGCAGAGAATGACTGAGAAGGAGGGACTTCTGGACAGGAATATTTCTGTAGAGATTGTAACCCTGGTTGAGAGAGAAGAGAGGGAAGGATGTGGGGAGAAGGAAAAGGAAAATTGGAGCTAATGGACAACGTTGGTGAATGTTAAGAGCTGGTTTGGAGCCCAGCTGGAAATTCTCAGTGTCTTAATGACACTTTTGAAATGTTTAGTCTCATGCGAGTAAGTGATTGAAATCTATGCAAGTGTCGCAGCTCTTTTGCCCCCAGAATTATTTTCTTCAAACTCCACTTCTCAAGTAAATTTAATTTTGGCTTAAAGCTAGGTAGCCTAGTGTTAGAGCAGCTTGCACTATACTACACTAATACTAAGTCCTGACTGTTGTAACTGATGATGTTTTCCTTGGCAAAGTATAAAATACGTGCATCTAATACATAAAGTACACGCATACTCACGCATATGTCAAAACAGACTAAAAGACATCTGTTCTCTTGGCTGCAGTCCCACAAATGCATATGCATGTGAGTGGTTCCACTGAACTCACTGGGGCATTTGCGTGTGTTGAGTTACTGGTGTGCATAAATGCTTGACAGATCATGACCTTTCATATCCCTTCATGTGTATATATCTATTAAATCAATGATGGATTTATTAATACAGTCATTTGCTTCATTAATTTAGCATGTATTTGCCATTGTCACGCACACATGAAAAGGAAACGCGTGCTGGCCAGCTGTGTGCATTTACCTGGCCTGTTGCAGATGGTTACTAGTGATCTGTCTGACCTTGTGGTTAATGAAGTCTTGTATTTTTAGCAAACCTTTTCTTTTGTTTATATTTTTTTTATTTAAAAAGTCATTGTGTTATGATTAGCTGTTAGAGGAAAGTCAACAATCCACTCTTATAGAAATGACACTTTGTGTTCTTGAATTATTATGTGGCTCTATTGTTCATACTGTAGTCTGAAAATCCAGTTACTTTGACACTGATCTTACTGGTAAATTTCCCATTGCTTCAGTAGAATCAAGATGCAACACAATGTTCTTTGAGTTATGAATCTTAATTCCTGGCCTTCATATGTTACCTATTTAGGCCTCGAGTTTTAATTTGAAAGGCTTGAGCTTTTTCAGTTGTTAGTTTCTTAAAACTTGGATAGATTTGAATGACTTACAGGCAAACATGATATACAAAAATTATACCCAGGGATTATTTCTAGCACTAGAAAAATGCAGCCACCTAGGAAGAGAAATGAAAAAAACCTGTTAATAGCTTAAAGCAACAGAGGAAGTGAGACTTACTAAAAACAAAAGTACATTGGGAGTTAAAGAAAGCAATACGTAATAGTCAGAAAGTCTAGTTTTAAATGGCTTAGATTATTAGACAGTGCTACAATAGCTTTGACTGGGGCAGCTGACATCACCTTCTATGGCTCCTGTGCCTTTTGCTTCACCTCAGATGAAAGATGACACCTCAACAGCAGGACTAAGCCACCAACATTGTGTTACAGCACACATACTTTTCCTTTAGGTTCCATGAATGCAACTCCTTGGTCACCAGTAGTGCTTTTTTCGGGATCAGGGAAAGATGTCCCAGGCAACTAGTCCTGCTCAGCCAGGGGAATATTAGCATTTAGGTAACTGGTGCCTTTCTAGGGGATGCTGTTAGAAGGAAACTTTGATATTCAATCTTCAGGTTAATGAAAATGGATGTAGTAACGTAGAACACATCTGAAAGGGGCAAAACTCTGTGTGAACAGCATGCGAGTGTCCCTAACTCTGTATTCCCTCTGTTTCTAACACAGGTGGCTAAGTAAGCTGGGGATGGCTGTAGACCCTCAGGCACCCAATGGGAAGAACGAAGAAGGTATGCTCCTAACGCTGGTTTCAGTGTGTACTACATCATGTTCTTCGCAGTTTTTGCTTGGCCAAATCTTTGTTAGCTCTTTTCTTCCTTTTAAATTGTCAACTTGGGTCCATCTGACAACTGAGCTCAGAGAAACCACACTGACAGAGTGGAGAGTAATCGCAGAAAAAGAAATAATGGTGAGAAACAGTGCCACTGAGAGATGCTCAGTGATCTTGTGAGAGGCACGTAACTGCTTTCTGCCAGTTTGCTGGCTTGCTAAGCCTACCAAGAGTGAAGAGAAACAGCTGTGCTGCTCTGGGGTTTGAGTTAGTAAGGTGTATTACACGAGTCAAGCTACAGCCCAGGAGCGCGCTAGCTTGGGAACATCTTGTGCAATGTAGACCTCTCTCTACTATCCTCCTCCATTTGTGGAGGTTTCAACAACAGCAATGCTGGGGAGGTGGGGGTGGTAGCGGTGTACTGAATCCCACAATTTCCTTCAGAGCCAAGCCCAAGACTTCATTGTGGAATGAGTAATTTTAAAAGTTGCTTGGTGATTTATTTATTGTTTTAATTTGCACGCTGACCTCACAGAACTTTTTGGTGGGAGGATACCTGCACTTAAATCACAAATCTGTGTAGAGGACAAAGCAAGTCACCTGTTTGTGAGTGCTTGGGAAAGCTGCTGGTGAGGACACACGTGATGGGAGCTGGTTCAGAACAAGAAGCGCTGTGGGTAGTAGTATGTTAGCAAACCAGGGATGGACTCAGGCCTGAGGAATAGGTATAAACTTCTGGGCTTTTGACCCTCCATTTTTAGAGTACTGCTACCCAGTGCCTTTTTCAGAACTCCTCAGGTGGTGAAGGAGCTGACATTATGAAGAAAGTGGTATTTGTAGTAGCATGAACATTTAGGTGATGTAGCCTGTTTTGTCTAAGCACTGAAATGTTCCTATCTGCATCCCTTCTGCTGTCTCCTACAATAAGGTTGTGGTTTATGTCCAGGCTTTGGACATGTAATTCCATTATTGATTAGTCTGATCTCTGTTTATACTCTGGCTCTATTTATACTCTGCCATTAAAAGCAGCTTTGGGGCTGGTAAACATAGATACCACTGATTTCTGGACATTCAGCAGGTCTCATAAATTTCTTTGGTTTGAGTTCATGGTTCTTTTTTTCTTGTCGGGAAACTTGTTCATTTCCATACCTCTAAATTCCTCCAAAATGCCTGTGTTCTCTTTGAACCCAATTTTCTATCAAAACAGTCTGAGATAATTAGGATAAAGGGCTATAGTCAGTATCAGGCTGTGCAGCAAGAACTGCATGGTAATTGTACTCAGGGATGAAATGTCCAAACATATTGTCCATGTTTTCACAAAGGAGGGGTTTGATGGAAGATGAGGATGGTCAAAATTCTATACATGAAAACAATTTTTTTTAAAGCCTCAAAATATGTAGTATGGGTTGTGTTGGCTGAGTCGAGAATTATAAAATAATTCAAAATGAGTCAGCCCACTAATCTTAATTAAAAAAAAATGACAGAAAGATACAAAATAATCCTCTCAGTACAGCAGTTTATCTAATTACTCTGCAATAAATATAACATAGCCAAGATTTCTTCAGCTTTTGAAGCTGGTGGCCCATTTCCCCTTCAGAAAAAGGCACTGTGATTCTGGTGTCAAACACCACCTCATCTTTCCACGCGCGTCTTGCCACAGGTGCTCCAGCAGTTGCCTTGAGTGTGGGTTTAACACCCCACCGATGCGCCGGGGTGGACGTGCCCTTGCAGAGGCATTGCTAT